CAAAAACCAATAGTGTCAAAGCATTTGTTGTTTTTGCCTGAGAGAGCAATTCTTTATCCTCACCTCCTCCACATGGTAGCTGCCCCCATCCTGAATCCTGCACTGCCTTCCTTCCATTCAATCCATTTTAGTGAGAGTTAAGCATACTTGTTACCATAAAGACTGATTGAGAAATCTTATCCCAACTAGTCTAATGAAGCCTTAAGTCCTTAAGTGTTAGAAATTTGGAGAAAGGAAAGTTCTCTTCTGAAAGTGTAATTCTAGAAACTACCATTGGGATGGGGGTAGATTGGGGTGGGCAAAGCCTGTCTGAGATTGAAACATAATCAAGGAAAATGAATGAATAGATACAAAAAATGAAAAGAAAAATTTCTTGCAACATTTTTTGATAGTCTGAATTTATCCATATCTGCATCCAAAGATTTTTCTGGGCTTTTTAGGTGCAGGAGCCATAGAAATGTGTCCCTCTTTGTTCTGGCTGCTGTCAGAATCCTTCATATCAGTCACTATGATTTGGATTTTCTTTTGGGTCTTACTCAGCTAAGTTCAGCCTACAATAAGTGGTTTCCCCACTAGGGGGTGCAGCTCACCTGCTACACTGGAGCAAGTGGTGTTCAGGAGGTAATGCTGGCAGTCAGGCGTTTGCTTCAGAGAGACCTGTTGGGATGGTGCAGGGTCTGGCCATAAAGCTCATGTTCCTGATAGGGGTTTTATCTTAGAAGAACTGGGAGAGCAGTCAGAAGACCAAGGCATGGCTGCAGGAATAGGGGATGAAATAGGACTATGATGCCAGGTGGCAGAGTCTCCCTTGGTCTTATAAAAAAAAAAAAAAAAAAAAAGGGTAAAGGAGAACTGGCGAATAGGCTTTATCTTCCAGGCCATATCTGGCTGGCAAGGCACGCCTGGATTGTTAATTTGAGAAAGAATTTGAGGTCATATCCAGCTCAGTGCACACACTATCATTGATTGCTAATATCTGGTTGGGGCTGGAGAGAAGCAGGGGTGATGTGATGTATTCTTATAGTTTGCCCCTAAGTGAACTAAGTGACATGCTGAATATTTTTAATTGAAGGTAATTGGAAAATGACAAACCAAAGACTGATGCTTTGCCCAATTATCTGTCTTCCTGAAAGCATGAAATGATTTTTTTTCTCCCAGCACCTCTTTGTATTGGGGTTTCCGACATCTGACATCTGTTTTCCTATGTAAATAAACCCTTTCTAAAATTTCCTTCCAAATCATATCTAAATCTGAAAGTTTCTTTGTCCTCGCTTTTCCTTGCAAATTTATTACCCACTTCCTAAAAACTATATAACCTTGCCTGACTAGTCAGATCCATGTCTTATGGAAGTCTGTGAGCATGAATTAAATTTGTCTCTTACTAATAATCTCCTTGTGTTGATTTATTATTGGGCCAGCCAAAGGAACAAAAGGGCGAGCTGCTTCTCAAAAAGAGAACTATTGACATTTTGGTTGGGTCCATTCTTTGTGTAGGACTGTCCAGTGCATTGCAGGGTCTTAGCCCACTGAATGTTGGTGCTACCATTCCTGTCATTGTGACATATCTTTTAATTGTCTCTTATGAGAATAACACTGCAAGCTCTACTTGAAACAGTAGGTTTGACCAAGAGTGACTTGGCGTGGATTTCCTAGAGGATTGTACTAGCATTGCTTGTAAGAATATAAAGAATGTAAGACTAACGGGGAAAAATACAGATTTATTTCTTTTATTTTTTCTTTAGGTCCTGAGTCCAAACTGACCCTGCCATCAGTAGGGGAGAGGAACTGAGAATGGGGTTGGGAATGAAGAGGCTCCAGCAAAGGTCAGACTATATTGGGACAGGGAATCAGGCAGGACCCAAGAACAAGGGATTATTGTCATTTATGGTTGAAGAAAGGGTGGAAAGAGACTCAGCTGTTGAGGGAAGGGTGTTCTGTTAAATCTCATTGCCACTTAATATACACTCCTCCCACCTTAGGGTTGCATTGTCTTTAGATGTTTCTTTTGTCAAAGCATTGTATTAATGATAGTTCTTAGAGAGCTGCCCTTCATTCTGTATGTCTGAATTTACTGAATAACATCAGCTACCTATGTGAAATATTTGGGACGTGGGCCTCCCCCGTGGCACAGCGGTTGAGCGCTGGGTTGCGAAGCTGCCCGCAGCCTCTGCAGCACCAGTTCGATCCCCGGCTGCTCCCCGGCCACTGGAGGAGGGTCCCACATGGTGCGCAGACCTCTCCTGCCGCCCGCTGCTCCCCTCAGCAGTGTACTTCAGTCCTTCTGCCTGCTCTGCTCCCTGCTCTGGCTCTGGTGAATTCTCTCACCCTCCCGCGCTTCTGACTGTACCCAGTGCTTGTATGAATGAATGAATAAATAAATAAATAAACAAACAAACAAACAAACAAATAAAATAAATCTTTAAAAAAATATATTTGGGACGTACCGTATGAGACAAGGAGTGAATAAATAAATGAATGAAATATATACTACCCCTAATTTAAGAGTTCAGGTACCATCTGTTTCATATCCTTCATGTCTCTATCAAGTGTTCCAAGAGAAGTGAGAAAAAGAGGGCTTGAGTAAGTCTGATATTTTTATTGTCATTTTCAAGTTTTACATTTGTCAGTGCGCCCCAGCCAAGACCACTGGAACACTTTGGTTGGATGAGTTGGGTTTACTATTCATTGCACCAAGAGGGAATGCCTGTTGGGGAAGCCTGAGGGCATCCCAGTAGAAAGACAATAGAAAGAATTTATCTTAGAATTTGGGTTCCTGAGGTTGATTTGAGGAAGATGTAAGGGAAGGGACTTTGCTCTGGATTGGATGCCCTCAGGAAGTTGAAATCACTCTGCTATTTGGTGTCTTAAAAGGTCTCATTCAGAAGGAGGGAAGAATAGGCTAAGACTAAAGTTGTAATCTTTAAAAAAGAAGCATTACTCATGTTAGTTCAGTAGTGGATCTCAATCTCAGGAACATCGTAGGGCAAGGAGAGACCAAGCAAAGAGGCAGACCACTCCATATTGGTAGCTGGCAGTTTTTTTTGTTATTTTGTTTGTTTGTTTGTTTGTTTTGTGGGACCCTCGCAGGTGGCCTGGGATAGAACTGGCACTGTAGAGGCTGCGGGAAGCCTTGCAACCCAGCGCTCAGTCGCTGCGCCACAAGGGGAGGCCCTGGTAGCTGGCAGTTTTAATGAGCAAGGGAACTCACTAGTTTCATCTTAGGAGACAGAAAGAAGAGTGCAATTCTGCATCCAGCCAAGTCTTAAAGTTTATTTAATAGTTCCCCCTTATCTACTGGGGATATGTTCCAAACCCTCTCCCACCCAGGGATGCCTGAAACCACATATAACACAGAGTCCTTTATATTCTGTATTTTCTCCTAGACATATATACATACCTATTAAAAAGTTAAATTTATAAATTAGGCACAGTAAAGGATTAATAATTAATAATAAAAAAGAACAATTATAACAATATGTAATAATAACAGTTATGTGATTGCATCACCTATCTCGAAATATCACAGTATTTTTGTACCAAAGGTAACTCAAACTGCAGAAAGTAAAATCATGAATGAGGGAGGCTACTGTAGTAGAGGCCTTACCTTAGTTCAGCCACATATCCCACTGGGTTTTCTCAAAACTGTATTACTATATTGATACCGGAATTGTCAGGCCTAGTCTCTCAGCCAGGAACAGATCCCAGGCTGCAGGGGCAACGCTGAGCCCCAGCCACTAGACCCGCACGGGTTGGTGTCTCACGAAGGTGCAGCAGGAAGTTCGCAGACGCTCAGGCAAGCAAACTAGAAGAGGCAAGTTTGTTTAGAGAAAGAAAAAGTTTATTGAGGAGAAAAAGAACAGAAATAAAGTAGTACTCCCAGGCCAGGAAACCAGGCCAGGGAGGGGCAAGGAAGCCAAAGCAGAGTTGTGTCTCAGGGAATATAGACCTTCTTTCCCTAATTATTCTAAAGCTCCACCAGTCAGCTGTCTCACTTACTTTGCTACTGAGTGGGGAATCTTCACATTCCTTATCTAACTGCTTTCTCTTTCCCCATTTGTTACATCTTTATCTTTATGGCCCAATCCTCTGGATGAGCATCCCTGCATTGAAGTTAAACAGCTGCCCTTCTAAGTTGTCCATAAATTAAACCACTCTCCATTTCCCCAATCTCTACCTCCCTTTATCACCTGAAGGAAACCAAGGCCAGCATTAACAATGTTGTCCTTGGTCCTGGGATGTTTGTTTTTCCAGGTGGAATTAGTTACACGCCTCTTGCTGCCCTTATCTCTGAAGGCTTCCTCAATTCTCCAAGTTCTCCTCCTGCAGTGTCCCTAAAATTGCCTAATTCCTAGCTTGCCCTGTGTCTCAATATCAAGGCTTCCAAAATTAGAGACAGCAAGCAGAAACACATTCCAAAGACAGAGAAGGACAAGCAGTCTCCAATTGCAAGGGTCCAGGTCACAGGTCAACTCGCTTTATCATCCTTTTGATGACCTCTTTCAACATCAAGCTAGAAGATGTTTGGTATTTTGTGGTTTTGCCTGTATTTAGGCGTGATTATGAAATGGTATTGTTACATCGTGATTCATCATGGTGGCAGTGTGCCTGTGATCACTGGTGATGTTTTGTGAAATCGTTTTTGTTAAATAGGACATCATCATGGCCAGCTATGAGAGGGAGCCCAACCTTGAGCAATGCCAAAGTCGGCTCCCGGATATTGTTAAATATTCATTTGTTGTATCTTGATTGTATACTGTATTTATGCATTGACCTGTTGTGATTATCACTAAGAAACCAGACTCTACCCAAGTCTTAATACTTCAGCAAGGAACACTTAAAGAATATTTACTGAATATATGAATGAATTGGCGAATGAAGACTGTGACTTGCTTAAAATTAAGAGTCACTTTATTTTTGGTAACGTAGTCCGCCACATCAAATTGATCTTGAATTTTCCAAACATAAAGTTTATTGATTTTTTTTTTTAAACTAAGGTAATATAATGAATTCCACTTTCTGAAGGAATGATGATGCTTAATTCAAATGGCTTCTGTCATGCAGAACAAAGGGGAAATCATGTCACAATCAGCATTTTCCAGGATGTTGAACTGAAAGACTGAATTTCAAATGTCTATGAGAAATTGATAGACATATTTAGAGATCATTTGTATGAAATACGATCCTTCTTCCTCTTAGCAAAAAAAAGGTGCCAAAAAAGGGATTTCAGAGGAGGAGAGGCCTTGGTTTATAAACACCTGACTTATAAATAGCCCACAGCTACTGAAGTTTCCCTGTCCCCTCACTCTCCCATCCATCCTAGAGAGCCCTTTATTTTTAATACATTGAAAAATTATTTAGACCTTTTGGCAAATATGTAAACCATATGTTAAAAAGTAGAGGAAGGGGAAAACAATGACTTCCTGAGAAACCCTGAGAACATCTTTTAACTTTTCTGAAGCAGAAAAGTTACCTTACCTTATAAGATAACATGACTATAGGGATATAATGAAATAGGTTCCTTGAGATTCACTGTGAAAATGTTTTACAAACTGCAAGCAGAAAGGATTCTTACAGTTGGCAGAAAAGAGCACAATGGTTAAGAGCAAATTAAACATAGCAGTATGGAAAACAAGGGAAGATATTTGTCCTCAGCAAAAATGGAAAAACAACAGTGAGCTACTGGCTGTATTTCATGCTAAATTATAGTCAGTGGACTCTTGATATTGCATAGTTCATAGAAAAGAGGTCCATAAAAAGAATGACAGTAACCATATAGGAGCTACTGTGAAATGATAAAGACATTCTTCATCTTCTACAAATACTTCCTTTTTGACATTGAACAAAACAATAAACTTTGTTCATTGTTTTTATATGAACAAAAAGGGAGTAAGCTCATCCTTGCCAACCATGCAGTCTTGGTATGGACCTCTTAGGTGCCGTTTGAGAAAATACTTACAAAGTACTAAGACTTATAATTATATATTTTTAGTAATAGCGTGACAGTAATAGTATCTTTTGGAGGGGGGACTTTCCTTGTATTTGCCGCAGTGTCTACAACTTCCTAGATATCCATTAAACATTCATGGGACAAATAGATAAATATAAGAAATAATTTTGAGAAATCCTTAAAAACTATCCAAGCGTTGGCGTGCAGACCTCTCCTGCCACCCGCTGCTCCCCTCAGCAATGTACTTTGGTCCTTCTGCCTGCTCAGTTCCCCGCTCTGGCTCTGGTGAATTCTCTCACCCTCCCGCACTTCTGACTGTACCCAGTGCTTGTATAAATAATAAATAAATAACTCTTTAAAAAAAAAAAAAACTATCCAAGCGTAAGATTCTAATAATGAGATAAGATGATGGAAAGTTAAGCTTGAGGGCCCTAGAAGTCAAGTTCTTTGGCTTGTTTCTTGGTCTTTTCCTTTACAAGTTGTGCCATCTTGAATAAATCTAATTTTCTCTAAAACCCAGAACAACTCCTGGCATATAATAAACATTAAATTTAAACCAAGTATATTTATAGGTTTTCAAAAGACCCCATCATGTATTCTCTTTACTATTTATATTTCTGTGATCATGTAATACATATGTTCTTCAAAAGCCTATATATATCACTTTTATCCTTATATGTACTCTTTTTAAATATTGTGTCACTATTTTTAGAAAAATTAATATATAATATCTAGTGGGATATGGTTTGTCTTATATGGTTTACACAGAATGAATCTTTAAGCAAAACATTCTGTCAGAGGTTTTTGGTGTGCTCAACAGGACAGTCTTCTCACTCCCCAGGACACAGAAACAGAGACCAGACAGAACCTGAAATGGGGCTTAAAGGAGGGAGGGAGGCACTTTTGCAGTTTTTGTGAAGGTGTGCTTAGCTCCTTGTCTTCTCATGAATATGCCCTCACCCCATATTTGGAATGCTTGGATAATCTGAAAAGAAATTAGTTGCGGGCTAAAAGCAGTAGGTGTGAAAGTTGGGGGGTTAGATAATTCTTATGTATGAACTGTCTCTGAAATGGCTAGCTATGAGAAGCAGAATGGATTTCTCAAATGACCTGTACAAAAAGAAGATCAGCAATGGGATGCAGTAGCAGAGGGAGATGTACTGAGCAGATGTACTTAGCATGGGCAAAGACGTTCAAGTGGCAGTATCACAATGACAAAAGAAGCAGATTTTATTTACGAAAATGACTAGCCATCTGGTAGATGCATGCCCAGATGTGTCTATGCATGCCCACCCTCCAGTCCTACAGGCCCAGTAGAAGCTCTCAAAAGTCCTACCTGCTGTCAACAGCAGTCTGGTTGATGGGAGCTGAGGAATCCCCTGCCCCCACCTCTGCCCACCAGCCACAGTGGCCCAGGAACCAGGCAGATCCATCCATTCCCCATTAAGGGCTCTCAGAAGTCATGCCTGCTTCATCAGTAGTCCAGTGGCCCTATGGCTACAATGAACGCAAAAGCAAACAATGGGGAGAAAGAGAAATGCAAATGGTCAAGCAAACCCTCCTGGGAACAATACACCTCAGAAAGAAAATCAGCCTCCGTAACCCAGTATCACTGACACAGAAGATAAAGAGTTTAAAATCACCATAATACATTAGACAACTAACTTTCATCTCTGAAAACAGACATAAGAGAAAATACATATGCAGTAGACTTCAACACCCCACTCTCACCAATGGACAGATCAATGAGACAAAAAATAAATAAGAACACAATAGCCCTAAGTAAATATCTAAACCACATGGACCTAACAGAGGACACTGCACCCAAAAAAGCCTGAGTAAACATTTTTCTCAAGCGCACACAGAGCATTCTCCAGGATTGACCATGTACAGTGCTACAAGACAAACATTAACAGATACATGAATATCAAATCATACTATCTTCTCTGACCATAGAGGCATCACACTAGAAATCAACTATGAAAAGAAGTAAGGAATTCCCCCCTTACATGGAGACTGAACAATACTATTGAAAGACAGCTGGATTAATAAGGAAAGCAAAAAAAGAAATTAAAAAATACCTTAAGGTGAATGAGAATGAGGACACAACTTTCCAGAATATGGAAACAGAACATGGGACACAGCAAAAGCAATAAGAGGAAAGTATATAACTACATAAGCCCACACCAAGAAACGAGAAAGAACCCAAAGAAACCTCCTAATCTCCCATGTTGAAGACGAGAAAAAGAAAAACAACAAAAACTCTAAAGGCAGTAGAAGAAAGGAAATAATAAAAATTCAAGCAGAAATAAATAAATAAAGATTAGATCATTGAAACCAATGATCCAAAAGATTTTTTGAAAAAATAAAAAAAAGACAAACCTCTAGGCAGGCTCACAATGGGAAAAAAGGAAAAAAATGCAAATAAAGAGTATCATAATGTAAAAGGAGAAATGGCAACAGACACAGCAGATATCCAGAGGATAATAAGAGATTACTATGAATATTTATATACAAACAAGTTTAACTATCTAGGTGAGATAGGACAAATTCTTAGAACTATAAAATCATCCAAAGCTGAATAAAGAAGAAATAGAAAATCTAAACTAAACAATTATAAGCATTAAAACAATAATCAAAACCCTCCCCCAAAGCAGAAGCCAAGACTAGATGGTTTCACAAATAAGTTCTACCAAACATTCAAAGATGAACTGATTCCTATTCTACAAAAACTCCTTTCAAAAATTGAGAAAGAAAGAATACTACCAAACACACTTTTGAGGCCAGCATACACAAATACCAAAACCAAACAAAGACAGCACAAAGAAAGAAAACCACAGGACAATCTCTGTAATGAACACAAATGCAAAAATCCTCAGTAAAATCTTAGCAAACCAAATCTAACAATGCATCAAAAGGATAATACACCATGACCAAGTGGGATTTATTCCAGGGATACAAGGATGGTTCAATATTTGAAAATCAATTAATTCAACACATCAACAAAAAGAAAAATAAAATCCATATGAGCATATCTACAAATGCTGAGAGAGCATTTGATAAAGTTCAGCATTCATTTATGATGAAGGCCCTCAAAATACTTGGGATGAAAGGAACGTGCTTTAACATAATAAAAAACATATATGACAAAGCCACAGCTAACATCATTTCAGATCTGGAATTAGACAAGGGTGCCACTCTTACCACTGCTTTTCAATGTAATTCTGGAAGTTCTAGCTAGAGCAAGTAGGCAAGAGAAAGTCATACAAGGAATCTAAATAGGGAAAGAAGAAATAAAACTATCACTTGCAGATGATATGATAATATAGAGAACCCTAAAAACTACACAGAAAAACTAATTAAAACAATAAACCAGATTAGCAAAAGTAGCATGTTTCAAAATCAACACACAGAAAAAATAGCCTTCCTATACACAAACATCAGTTTGAAGAGGAAGAAATTAAGAAAACCATCCCATTACAATTGTAACCAGAAAAGTTAAATACCTGGGAATAAGCGTAACAAAGGAGGTGAAAGACCTATACAAAGAAAATTACAAAGCTTTGTTAAAAGAAATAGAAGACACAAAGAAATGGAGAGACATTCCCTATTCATGGAAGGGAAGAATTAACATTATCAATATGGCCATCCTACCAAAAACGATTTACAGATTCAATGCAATTCCAATAAAAATATCAATGGCATTCATCAAAAAATTAGAAGAAATATTGCTGAAATTCGTATTGAATCACAAAAATCTTGAACAGGCAAAGCTTTCCTGTCTAAAAGAGGGAAGAATGAAGGTATTACACTCCCACACGTCAAACTATACTATAAAGCCTTGATAATAAAATCAGCATGGACAAAGAACTAGGGCCTGGACAAGAAGTAAATTGATGGTAGGGTGACCAGCTGTTTTGGTTTGTCTGAGATTATTGTGTTTTAGTCCTTAAATCTCAACATACCAGGAAAACAGTCTTAGGAAAACTGGGAGTTGGAAGCAACACAATAAGGACAGTGGTAGCTTTTACTTACTATGGCCTATTACATTTAAGATTATGCTAAGTCCCCTGTACGTGTTATCTTTTTCAGTGATCACAGCCAGTCTCCCACGAGATTAAGTGATCTGTCTCAAGTCATATGATTTAGATGAGAGAGCTGAAATTCCAATCCAAGTCTGTAGGACTAGATTTTACTCTTAACCACATACTCAGTTCTGAGAGTTTGAACCAATGCAAATGATTTTTTAAGTTATTTATAAAATATATTTTGAGTTTAAAAATACAGTTTATTTCCATTACTATGTCAATCCCCCAAGAACCCATTCACCCAGCCATTCATTTGACAAGGACTTACAGTGCTCACTTGGTGCCCAACACTGTTAAATGCTAGGAATAAATCACACACTGCCTTCTGACTTCCTGGAGCTTATGTTTGGTGACAGGTCAATAATAATGAAACAGGCCTCCCCGGTGGCGCAGCGGTTGAGCTCTGGGTTGCGAAGCTGCCCGCGGCCTCTGCGGGGCCGGTTCGATCCCCGGCTGCTCCCCGGCCACCGGAGGAGGGTCCCACATGGCGCGCAGACCTCTCCTGCCGCCCGCTGCTCCCCTCAGCAGTGTACTTCGGTCCTTCTGCCCGCTCTGCTTCCCGCTCTGGCTCTGGTGAATTCTCTCACCCTCCCGCGCTTCTGACTGTACCCAGTGCATGTATAAACCAAACAAACAAACAAATAAATAAATAAAACATGCCTCTATAAAAAAAAAAAAAAAAAAAAAAAAAAATAATAATGAAACAGAAAAATAAAATATCTGCAAGGTACTTTTATAAGAATTAAGAAGAAGATAGTAGCATCTTAACCTGAAAAATGTCTGAGGTAAATCTATTTTACGTAGCATGCATAGTCAGGGCAAGCATCTGGAAGGAGGAGATATATAAGCTGAAACACATAGGGAAGTACAAGCCCTGTGAAAAGCATGGGGAAAATGTTCTTGAAGAAGAGAACCGTCTGCCCAAGGGGCCTGAAGCAGAAAAGAAATATGTGCATTTGAAAATATCTGGAAAGAAGAGTCAGTGTGGTCAAAGCATGGTTAGCAAGTAAAGCAGTAAATATAGATGAGACTTGAGTTTTAGAGACTTCCCAAAATCATTTAACCACAGGGAGATAAGTCAACCCTATGTCTTTGACTTGATTGCTGAGTCATGTTGCTTTAGCCTTACCTTTAAAAGGATGATTTCTTTCTTACAGCTATGATTTTCAAACATTTTAGGAACAGAACCTTTTTTTCCCCCCACATAAAATCTCATATTAAAATCTAACATTTAAGTCAGATAAAGGGAGGCTTCTCTCTTGGCATTGGAGATGGGACTCAAAATCCCTAAGATCCCTGTTACCCCCACCCACCTTGGCTTCACCCAGTAGAACTGAAATTCCAGTGGCGATGTTTTTAGTTTACAGAATTATGTCTTGAGGAATTCACACGTACCTCCAAGTAAGATAGGAGGGTTATCAGGCAGCTTCACATTAGATTCTTACAAGAGGTTTCTGTTTTGGATTTTGTGTTTTCACTTACATTTTAGCGAAGCAGTACACACAGGAATTAGGATATGTAACGTTATTAGAGGCACATATTGGGCTGACTCTGATGGAGCATATGTGTTTCTCATGTACAAACTTCTTTTGATAATAATCACACATAATTTCCTAAAACAAAACCCATAGGTCAAACTTTATCCTACTGTGATCTCTTAAGGGCTTCTGATATAAACGCTTGGGTATTTCATTTTGCACAAAGAGGGGATGATGATAAAATATGTCTTCTTTTAAACCACAAACATCAAAACTTCCTTATCTTAAACTCAATAGACACAGTCTTCCCACTTTGAAAGGTAACTGAGTTGATGCTGCCCAGAGTCCTGGGGTGGGGATAGATATCTGTAATTGTTAGAAGGGCAGAAGACCACTCTAGGAGGCGGCACACAGGTTGATAACCACTGTCTGGGAAGGACCAAAACCACTCAGGGACCTGAGGAATCATTTTGGTTAATTAGAACTGCTCTTGAACTGGGCACCTGGGTGGACACCCTCTGTGTGGTCTCACTTCAGCATTAGCTACAGTTCAGTCATCTGGGGATTAGGAGGCAAGAGAAAGCTACCAGGTCCAGATTTTCACAATATCTCTCCATTTTAGTTTACTTTCTTCAGTACTACCACAATTAGAGTATGCTGGAGTTAGAGGAGGACCTTGGTGACAGCTTAATTTGTCTATAGGCAGAATGGAGAAATTTCTCGTAATGAACAGATTAGGGATGAACTGCTATAATTTCCTACTGCATTGGTTCAGATCACAGTATAGTCATATATTCAGTCTGTCAGGCAAAAGACCTGTCTACCAAACTTCAGTGGCACACATGGCTTACTGCAGTGTTTCTCAATAGTCACTTGCTTCATGAGCTCTCACAAAATCATGTCTTTTTTTTTTTTTTAAAGATTTTTCATTGAATTTGCTGTCTTTTTAAACTTGACTATCATGTTAGACTTTCTTAAGCATGAATATCCATCATTATCTTGGTTTTGAAGTTGTAATTACATTTTTCTAATATATATTAAAAGAAGCTATTATTTTTGCAATAAAAGCTTTTCATTGGCATATTAACTAAAATCATCTAATACTATTAGAAGGTTCTCAAGTAACTTTTCAGGAAATTCTCTTACCGCACAGGCTCTCTCTTTTTATTTCTTTTAATGGGTAAGCCTACTAGAGGGGGCAGGACAATAGGCCAGGGTCCCAGCAGGGTCCCCGCAGGCAGGCTGTTGTGGCAGGAATGAGCACAATCTTCCCCACCCCATTGCTGTGCTGCCAGGCCCTGAACACTACAGCTCCCAGCATTAGGTCAGCCTGGCTTCCCAAATGGGGGTTTCTGGGAAGGAAGAAGGAAGAGGATGAAACTGAGGAAAAGGATAGAAGTCAAGGACACAGATATTTCTCATCTTTCCTCCTTTTCTGGCTTTAATGCTTAGAAAGACTGTGCCAGCTGCCATTGTGACTCTCTGATGGATTCTGCTTGGATGGTACATTGGGGACATTGGTTCTTCTCTCTCAACCCTATGGGCCCTGTGAAAATTCTTGCTATGTTTCCTGCTGAGTAGTGTCTGGATTATTTGTTCTTCTCGGGGACCTGCTTTTGAACCTTGGCTACTTCCTTTTGGGCCCTGCCTATTTGGCAGGTGAGTACTCACAGGAAATGATGGATTTCAGTTTGATGGGGAGTCTCTACTTTGAAATCCTTCTCTCCCCTACTTCTCTCTATCACCTGTGCACCTCTCACCAATTAAAAATCTTTGAGCACACTAGAATTTGCTTTCTTTGTTTTTATGTACACCAGTGGCACAAACCATTGGAAAGGGCAACAGGGGGTTTTCTCTTAACAGGGGTCCCTGAACACCTTTCAGTTTTTTCTGGTGTCCAATCTATATTCCTTGTTCATTAAGACTTTACCAAAGAATTGATCCTTTAGTGGGATATTCTTAAAATATAAAATGACTTGTAAAATTGAATATGAATATGAAAAGAATGTTAATTCATCAGAGGGAATAAATCATACAAAAAGACAAGATTGGAATAGCATGGACTCAAAAATAGTGTAAGTTAACTGGAACCTAGGTGAGTGAAGGGGGATTCCCCTTAAGGGGGAAAGAAGCTGTGTTGAGGAGGCTGTGTAGGACAGGCAAAATGTTTGTCCTGAGCGTTCCAGGAGTCGTTGTATTAAGGAGAGAGATGGCTCATTAGATTTTCATTTCAGAAGCACATTCTTGTAGGTGTGGAAAAGATTCATGCAGGGATTGACAGACTTTACTATTTAGGTAGTAAATATTCTTTGGATTTTAAGCCATATGGTCTCTGTTGAAACTACTCAACTCTATAGTTGCAGCCTGAAAGCAGGCAGAAACATGCTTGTCTGTATTCCAGTAAAATTATATTTTCAAAAACATAGCTTGTCAACATCTGGATCAGACTTAACACAAGGTAGCCATCAAATGGTCATGGCAAGAATATGTCAAGTAGTGAGACAGACTTGAATGTAGGCAAAAATGATGAATTTAGAGGGAGGGAAAATATTGAAAAACAAAGATTAGGAACTTTGTGAGTCGTATATAAAGAGAGGAAAAAGAGGTAAGGGACAGGGATGTGTTCTATTTTACTTCAGCATCTACTTGACAGAGATGTATCAAAAGAACCATATAAGTTGCCATCATGCAACTCCAAATGGCATATTTGAATAATATGCTAATAGCATATTAGTACTTCCATATGGTTTAATGTTTCAAACTAATAGGACTACAATATGCCTTAGAATAGCAAAATCATTCTTACAGAATCAGTAGAGAACTTACCTTAAATACACACTCAACAAAGAAATCTGAAACAAAAAATGTTTCAAAAAATCAAATAAAATAATGTACAGTTGAAATGTGAACAACTAATTAGGCCATTTAATGATCACATATAGATTAATAATCATGAAAATATAGAAAAATATGTGACTCTTTCACACAAGGCTTATCTGGCCATGCCTGATTTGAAAACATTACTTTCCTCTTTTCATGCTGGGGTCATTTAACAATCCTGAGAATTCAACCTTAGCCCATTCCTAGTTTAATGATGACGAGAGATTTAAACCCAAGCTTCATCCTCTGGGATTCAGCATTATCACCCACAGTTGGGTGGCTCAGCAGACATTGTATAGACCTGTTTTAGAAACATATCTAGGTATTGATAGTCATCTGACTATGTGGTTCAGAAATCTTAGATATCTGCCTGTGTTTGTTCATAGCCTGTCTTGCATATCATCTTCTTCTTCTAAATTACTCTTTTTTTTAAGATTTATTTATTTTTATACAAGAGCTAGGGTACAGGCCAGAGGTGCAGGAAGGTGAGAGGATTCACCAGAGACAGAGCGGGGAGCAGAACAGGCAAACTGGCTGAAATACACTGCGGAGGGGAGCAGCGGGCATGACAGGAGAGGTCTGCTACACCATGTGGGAATCTCCCTGGCCGGCCGGGAATTGAACCAGCGCTGCAAAGGCTTCAGACAGCTTCACTGTGCTGTGCTCAACCCATTGCGCCACCGGAGAGGCCCCCAAATTACCCTTAAGGAAGATTCTTCCTTTGTTTGGAACTTTTGTGTCAACACTGTTTACCAACCTCTGAGCGATTCCTCTGACCTTTTTATAGTATGTTCACTTCATGGCATTGACTTTATTCAGCTGCTGGTCCTTGGCCTGTGCCTGCAGATGAGGCTCCCCTCAATGGCCAGCAGATTTTTTTTTTGTGGGACCCTCGTTGGTGGCCAGGAAACGAACTGGCGCTGCAGAGGCAGCGGGCAGCCTCGCAGCCCAGAGCTCAACCGCTGTGCCACCAGGGGAGGCCTAGCAGCAGATATATTTTTACATTGTGGGCTTACCTTGTGGGTATCATTTTGTTGGAGTTAGGTAGGAAGAAATGACCCCTCTTGAGTTTTGATATCATTAGGTTTTTTTCTAATAGTGTGCCATGTCAGTCATAACTCTGGCTAGTTTAGAAGGGGTGTGTGTGTGTGTGTGTGTGTGTGTGTGTGTGTGTGTGTTCATACACACGAAATATCAGGGTGTGCAGGAACATGATAAGAAAGTGTTAAGGAGGAAAGAGAGGGCCTCCCTAGTGGTGCAAGGGGTTAAGTCACAGCACTGTGAAGCTATCTGCAGCCTCTGCAGCACGAGTTCAATCCCCAGGGAGGTGACCCACATGGTGCAGCAGACCTCTCCTGTCTTGCCCACTGCTCCCCTCAGAAATACGTTTCAGTCAATCTGCCTGTTCTGTTCCCCACTCTGTCTCTGGTGAATACTCTCACCCCCGAAACCTCTGACTTGTACCCCAGTTCTTGTATGCATAAATAAATAAATCTTTTTTAAAAAGGAGGAAAGAGGAAATTATCAACTCAAAAGAACAAACTATTTGTCAAATATTGATTATGCATCTCATAGATCATCCCTTAAAATATCTCAAGTCTGAAACTGTCATGGCAGAGTTCTTAGAATATCGTGGGGACAAATAAAAAAGGATTCATCCACTGATAATCATTCTCATTGAGTTGGTAAATTCTTCACCTCTGACAGAAACGTCAGCATTTCAAAAATCCTTACATCTATGAAATAGTTATAGTTGATTGTTACTTCCCTTGGAAGATCAAATTTTTACCCTCTCCCACCTCACCCTCACCAAAGTTCTCTGGCTAATCCTTACATGAGAAATAGTAAGTAGCCAAGATAGCCACAAAGAGAGTTTTCATTTTTTCCATGAGGAACAATGATTCATCTATCAGGGTTTCCTCTGTCAAGAATTTCTTAGCAGATTCTCAAAGACTCAGTTCTCTTTATGGTCCCTTTATGAGACCCTCAGGCCCCATTATGAAGTCACTTTGCAAACGATCCATTTATATATGACACCTAGGGCAAAGGAATCAGATCACGGAAGACCAAGAAGACTTCCCAGGGTAAAACATTTTATTTTTAATGGATGAAGCATAATGTAACATTTATTTGATAATTAAATTAGTATTCAGGTCCATAGAATATACTACTAAACAAATGTGGAAAAAAATGAAGTTAGAATGAGTAGTTCTGAGGAACTTAATCAAAAATTACACGTCTGCCATAACACCTGCTTCCTTCATCCCAATAATTTTCTGATTTAGTAGGTCCAGTAGACTCAGTAGATCACACACACACACACACACACACACACACACACACACACACACACTAAAATTGCATAGTGGATTCATCTGTTTGAGAACTGCTAGATTAGGAAAGCACAGTTTTACACTAACGGGCTAATTTTCTGAGTCCTTTCCTCCTTCTTCCCTAAAGGCCATTGTTCTGTGTTATTGGAGCCATCCCTGTATCCTTTCCTATTCCCATACCCATCTCTACTTCCCTCTAGCAACAGTATGTTATCTCATATTTAACATAAAGCATATTAAATTACCAGGAGTTATACATGGAAATTCAAATCCATTGATGTGTGATTTCTATTACAATACTTGGCTTGCTGGGCAGCTTTCTGGCTGCCCATAAAAAATCAGTAAATAAAAAAAAAATCAGTAAATCAGTAAATAAATAAAAAAATCAGTAAATCTGTGTAGGCTAAGGAAAAATGTCAGGCTTTCCTGCCCTCCCGCCATCAGGATAGATGATGGATCCTTGCGGTCCTGAATGCATGCCTGATGGCGGGCACCTGGAGTAGGGTGTGGGCCTAGGTAGATGGGATTCACCTGGGCTGAGACTGGGCTTTTAAGGGTGGCGTCACGGGGATGCCAGCAAAAGCCAAAAGAGAAGCCGAGAAAGAAGTAGCAGAAGCCAAGAGAAGCAGAGAACACCGGAGAGCCCAGATAGAGTGAAGACTTGCTGGGGGATGGGAGGCCTGCCAGCCTCCCGGCCCCCCAGCACCCTTGCCTGCAGTGTACCGGGTAAACCCCAATAAAAGACCTGCAAAAACCACTGAGGACTCTGACTTCCTTTACCCGGTCTGCTGGATCAGAAAACCTGCTCCGTGTTCTGACCTGACCCTACAATCTGTATTGAAGGTTGTATTATGACCAGATAAAATGGGGCATAGTTCATAATCCTAGAGAGGGAGTAGTGTTCAGTGGCCAGAATTTCTTACTTCTAAATATATGGTCTAGGGGAAATTCAGTTGTAAAATGGAGGGGATCCTACTACAGGAATAACAGTAGTATATACCTCTAGAGTTTCATTCATTAAATTAAGTAATTTAATGAACTGCTGCAGAGTATCTGACATAATAGCTATTTATTTTTATTAGTTCAACCTTAATTTTGGAAACCTCACCTTACTGCAAACTCTGATTTGCCTGTGGGAAATTCAAGTTTTAAAAAAATCATACTCTCAGTGCTTTTAGCAACCAATGCTTTTTCCTTTAACACTGCCCAGCATTTCGGAACCCATTATGGAGGAAGGATTAGTTTATCAGGATGTTTCATGCATAGCAGAGTTCAGTGATGTGCAGTAGTGGTTTCAGGGTGCACTTTCCAGGGTAACTTTCAATATAAGTTGAACACTTTTGTATTAGATAACATCTAGGTAAAAAAATAATAGCAATAATATATAATAAATGACCTCTAAGTGTATGTAGATATCATATTAGGCCATGAGGGCAGAGAATGATTAAGATACAATCTCACTCTTAAAGAGGTGCATACTCTAGTGGTGGAGTTTTTCTAAATAGCACATAATTACATTTTAGTGTGGCAAATAACATAGAAAAATATATATCTGTAACATGAAGGTAGCATCAAAAGCAAAGACAGCAAATATTGGAGTAGAGCAAGCCAATAAATCACCAAAGAGGAGGCTTTAGTGAAGGGATGGATAAGAGGTCTTCAGTCACATTTTCAGGATAAGGTTCAGATCTTTTAAAGTATCTGCACAGTTTCCCAGCCTAGTAATTAGTCATCCTCTGATGGCCTGTGATACATTTTTTAAAGATTTATTTTTATTTATGCATACAAAAACTGGGTGTAGGCCAGAGGTGCAGGGGATGAGAGGATTCACCAGAGCCAGAGTAGGAAGCAAAACAGGTGATCTACTGCAATACACTGCTAAGGGAGCAGCAGGTGAGACAGGAAAGGTCTGCTATGCCATGTAGGTTAGTTCCCTGGCTGGGAATAGAACTCATGCTACAGTGGCTGATGATAGCTTGATAGCTATCCCCTGCACCACCAGGCATGGCCTGTGATATTTAATGTCTGTTCTTTGGTATGTTTTCCTGTGGATTTTTATATTTACTTATTTGCAAGCACCCCTTTACATACTTGCCCCTCAAGCCCAAATGCAAACTCCATAAAGTTTATTTCTTTAAATTCCTGAAGATTGTCCATTGGAGATTTTCTAACAGGGAATATGTCAAAAATGCTGCTGAAGCCAAATAATTTCTTCAAGAAGTATGTTGGCTGGTTGTCACACTGCAGTAGGACCATCATGTTTCCCACTGAAAAGAAAAGTCAGTAAAAGCAGGGCCAGTGGCTCATTTGTTCAATGCTGAGTCCACAGAGTCTGCATAATACCAGACATTTAGGAATTCAGTCACTGTGTCCAGTGAATGATGGATGACAGCTGTTCAAGTATGATCAAGGCACCCTCTGTTGTTTTTTTTAATGCCAAGCAGTAGTATATTTTAGGGTTTTTTCCTCAATTTTATTAATTTGTCAGTAGTTTACATATGTATAACATTTTCAGGGTACATTTCACACCTCCCTGTGTACACATGCTCCACTCACCAACTACCAACTCTCTCATGCAAATTTCACATCCTCGTCCTTCCTTCTTTATCCTCTCTTTCCTCCCCTACCTTACACTTTGGTAACTAATGTATTTTTCCAAGTCTAAGAATTATTTTTTTTTATAATTTTTTTTTTAAATTTATGTATTTATTTATACAAGCACTGGGGTACAGTCAGAAGCGTGGGAGGGTAAGAGAATTCACCAGAGCCAGAGCAGAGAGCAGAACAGGCAGACTGACAAAGTGCACTGCTGAGGGGAGCAGTGGGTGGCAGGAGAGGTCTGCGCACCATGTGGGACCCTTGCCCAGCGGCTGGAGATCGAACCGGCGCTGCAGAGGCTGCGGGCAGCTTCACAACCCAGCGCTCAACCGCTGTGCCACGGGGGAGGCCAAAGTCTAAGAATTATTTTTGCTAAGCTTTGTCAGTTTGTTCTCTGTGATTATTTATATTTCACATATAAGAGAAACAATCCAGTATCTGTCTTTCACTTTCTGACTTAGTTCACTTAACATTATCACCCCCAAATCCATCCATTTTGTTCTTAAAGACACTACTTCACCTTTTAAAATAACTGAGTAGCCTTCTATTGAGTGTATATCTGACCATTTCTTTATCCTGTCATCTGTCCTTGGGCACTTATGTTGGTTCCAGCAATTGGCTATTGTGGATAATGGTACTGTGAACATAGGGTTGAATAAATCTTTTCATGTTAGATTTTTCATATTCTTTGGATAAATATCTAGCAGTGGTACTATTGGATCAGATAGTAGTTCCATTTTTATGTTTTTGAGGCATCTCCATATCATTTTCCATAGAGGCTACACCAAATTACATTCCCACTAACACTAAACGAGAGTTCTTCTCCTCCTTATCCTCGCCAATATTGGTTGATTCCATTCTTTTTGATGTAGGCCATTCTCATAGGTATGAGGTGGTATCTCATTGTCGTTTTGATTTACAATTCTCTGATAAGTGGTGAACATGTTTCATGTCTGTGTGTCCCTAAATGTCTGCTTTAGAGAAGTAGCTATTTAGGTTTTTTGATCATTTTTCTACTTGATTGCTTTCTTTGTTGTTTATTCATATGAATTTTTCATGTATTTTCAAAATTAACCCCTTTAGACATGTAATATGCAAATATCTTCTCCCAATTCATAGATTGTCTTTTAGTTTCTATACTGGCTTCTTTTGAGCACCAAACATTTTTAGTTTGATGTAGTCATATTTATTTTTGTTTTTGTTTAAGTACTCTCCTTGCTCTCCAAATCATGTGGCCAACTGGGGGGGGGTGTCTAAGACAATTTTCAGTGCTGATTTTAGGGATCAAAAAAGAGGCAACAAAGAACAGAAACTGGCCTATTTGAACATGTACAACTAACTTTATCTTGATTTATTTGCTAGACACTATAGCCCAGTCCACTTGGGAGGGAGGGGACAGTCAAAGAGAGTCCTAAGCTAGGGAAAGTGTCAATGGAAAAGCCTACCTTGTCTTATGTACCGCTACAAATTTAATTGCCTTCAAGAAGTTCTTCCTTAAGCTTTAAATGAAAATTTTCTTTTGGATTTACTTTGGTCACAGTTATTGGCAAAAAGACCATTTTCCCTTTTCCTGGAAAGTAATTGCCTCATGCTAACATTACAATGCACTACAGATTCTCTCAGAACCACTTTGTCTTGTCAATTATAAAAATTCATATTTGTTATTATTTGTGTCACAGAGAGATAATAGGACAAATAACAGATGCTAAGCATATAAGTATTTTCTTAGCACCCAGCTTAACCATTATGACTTAGAAGACTTGTCCCTACTTTCAACAAATTTAAAGGGAAGGACTGGAGCCCAGGAATATCTTTGTAATTGATGTGATATATAAAAGAAAAATATCTGCTAAAATTGACATACTGAATTAGTGTTCTTCAAGTAATGATTTTATTAATTTTTTGTTCTCAAGGGAGTTAAATAATCTATAGTCCTTTTATTATAGATTACTATTTAATTTGGGGGCAGGAGGTAAAAACTAATGAACAGCACAATATATTTTGTTTGCTTTCTT